GTCAAGATACTCAAGGTCACTGATCATCAGAGAAATGCAAATTACAACCACAATGAGATATCACTTCATACCTGTCAGAATGGCTATCCTCAATAAATAAAAAACAACAAATGTTGGCAAGGATGTGGAGAAAAGGGAACCCTCATACACTGTTGGTGGGATTGCAAATTGGTACAGACATTCCGAAAAACAGTTTGGAAGTTACTCAAAAAATTAAAAATAGAACTACCTTTTAACCCAGCAATTGCACTTCTGGGTATTTATCCATAAAAACTAAAACACTAGTTTGTAAAGATCTTTGCACCCTATATTGACAACAGCACTATTCACAATAGTCAAGATATGGAAGCAACTAAGTGCCCATCAATAGACAATTGGATAAAGAAGAAGTGGTACATTTATATGATGGAATATTACTAAGCTTAAAAAATAAAATCTTAACATTCACAATGACATGCATGGACCTATTATGCTGAGTGAAATAAGTCAGACAGAGAAAGATAAATACCATATGATTTTACTTATATGTGGAATCTAAGGAACAAAAAGAACAAAGTAATTGAAAACAGACTCATCAATATAGAGGACAATCTAGTGATGGCCAGAGGGGAGGGGGGTTAATGGCTGGGAGAATGGGGTGAAGTACAAATTTGTAGTGTGATAGATGGTCATTGGGATACAGAGCATGGCATAAGGAATACAATCAGCAATAATGTAATGACTAGGTGTAGAGCCAGATGGGTGATAATCAGGGGGATTGTTTCATAAACTATATATGTCTAACCAAAGTCCTATATTCTTGAAACTAATAATAAAAATAATTCCCTGAAAAATACATAATACAAAGTACTATATTCTTGAAACTAATAATAAAAATAATTCCCAAAAATATACATTAATAATAGCATAAAAAGTACGAAGGAAAGCCTAGAACTTATATTGAAGGGCTATTACTACACAACTTTACTAGGAGATATAGAAAGTCTTGAATGAGAAAAATATTGTATTTTTGGCTAAGAAGACAAATTGTCATCAACATATCAATTTTTCCTCAAATTAATTTATAGGTTTAATGCATTTACAAATAAAAATCCAGATGCTTTTTAGGCAGGCGAGAGTTGATAAAGTTATTCCAAAGAGCATTTGAAAAAATTAACAAGCAAAACTAGCAAAATATCTGCATAATGAAGCTGAGCTGGCCTTACCACACAACAAAACCAATTAAAAAGCTAAGGTTATTAAAAGAGTATTACAGTTCTAATAATAGAGAAATCTGTAAGTGTACTAGAACAGATAGCCCATATGCAGAATGGATAATACTCTAAATTTGAATTAAAATAAAGTATTCTAAATTTGTAGGGAAGGGAAAACATACTAGTGATACAAAAAGAAATTTTTCTTCAATTTGATTTTCATCACTGTATCACCTATCCACTTATGATAAGAAGAACACATACTGAAAGGGTTCTGAGACTCAGGGATTCCTTCTCCAGGCTTCAGGCCATCTTGCATTAATCTTAGAAGTTATCTCTTTTGTGTTTATAAAGGATTATTATGGCTCAGTATTGCCACTATGCTTTTTTTATTCTTCCTGCTCACTTTTCCAGACTTGTGATTAATTCTTATCCTTTGATAAAGTCTATTTACTGATCTAAGGTGGTGGTTCCCAAAGGGGGCTCTCAGACCATAGCTGCATCACCTGGATGGAACGTATCAGAAATTAACTTCTCAGAAACTTTGAGGGTGGAGTCTAGCAATCTGTATTTTAATCACCTCCAGGTGATTCTTTTACACACCTAAATTTGAGAACTAATGATCTAAGCAAACATTCAACACCATAAAAAGTACCACCTGTACTTCCAAGCCTTCCAAATGACATCTAGTTCCAACATCAATTTGTCATATTACTTATAAGGCACTAAATGAGTTACTTGATACCTTTCACCCGACTAGGCTATAAGTGTCTGGGGGGAAGGATTATGGTCATAGTACTTAACACCGTATCTCTCATACTACAATAATAATCGATATGTTCAATGCCAACCATTCTTATGCTCCCGCCTTTCTGTAAATTTTTTTAAAAAATTAAATACGTCCTTATTGTCTTAACTCTTTAGAAGGTGGTTTATCCCCACGTTTCCTCTTGTTATTTAGTAGGGTGCTGAATTACAAATAGGCTTATAGTAGTGACACACTATACAGTGACACACAAATTCAAACTGGTAGAATTTTATAGTACAGAAAGACAATGCTAACTGGTTATTGAAATATAAACTCTTATTAAATGAAAAGCTTTACTAAATTGTTAAAAAGTCAAAAGTTGGAATTTAGCAGGAACATTTTTCAGAACAGAAATTCCTTTCCATCTTGCTCTTTTAAGGCAAATTTACCTGAGGTGTGACTGTGTGGTCAATTAGATTCTCAGTTAGAGATAAAAGCAAGGCATCCAATTCATCTGTAGTATCCTATGGAAGACAAAACATACATTGTTGTTAAATGACCCATTAATCATCAGACTAATTTTTTCCATATCTTCTCAATTTATAATTCTGACCCAGGCCTGGTTGGCTGGTAACCTTTAAACAAAAAGAAACATTCAGGAATAATGGTTATTAGTGATTCTGCTTTTGCCTGGAAGGGAACCTAGACTACAATCAGAATTGAAAAAGCTAGGTGTTATGTGAATTTGCATATAGCTATTCCTTTTGGTGAGACAAAACTGGTAGGGTTAAAACTGTTCTGGCTCTTAGACTAGAAAAGAGAGGTAGAAAGTTTAGCATAGGAGACAGCTGAGTAAAGGAGATGCTTGAATTCCAAATGCTTCTTTATCCAGATATATAGGTACTTCACTGTTTGTAAAACAGAAGAATATGAACTTTCTCCCATAAATGTTAACATTTTTTGTTTAATTAGTTTTTGAAGTACTTTACAGAAGACAAAGTTCTATATTGCAGAATGTGCGTGCATGTGTATCTGTTTTTTGGAGGTAGGAAGAATTTTAAAAGTATAAAATTCCAATCTAGAAATAAGAGAAAAAATATCTAATGTGTAGTACATAACAAAAAAGTCTCTTCATTTATATAATTCTATTTCTATCTATTTGCCTACAGGCCATGGTAAATCTCTTGTTCATGTTTCAATATTCAACTTAATTTTAATCACACACATGAAAAAACTGTTCTCTCTCTTCTCACATCTCCCTCCTCTTATCCCGCCCCCTCCCACCCTGTGACCTGGGTGAGTCCCTCAAATCATCTTGTGCATATTGCCACCACAATGTATTAAAATTCTCTATCCCAACTATAAGCAGTTTGAAAGAAAAAACCATGTTTCAATCATTTTGAATTTCCAAAGCCTAGCATGCTGTCTGGTACAGATTATATATGCAATATACCTTTGAACTAAATGTCTTTCTCTGTTCCAAAAGCATATCAGTTTCCACTAAACAATTTTCAATGACCAATCAAAAATGTCAATATATCTTTTTAGAATTTTAAGTAACAGGAAGGAAGATTCTGGTTTTTTTTTCTAACCCAAAAGTCTAAAAAGATTATAGACCTAAGTATTAACTATACATTGTCTTAGGGTAGTGGGAATACACATGATTTCTAATTCTTTCTTTTTATGAAATATTTGGTAAATTTTTATAATAAATGTGCTTACACACAGAAGAGAAAAATGGTAAATGTTCATTTCCAAGGATATTTTTCATTTAACTTGCAAATTAAAGCATTCACTGAGCAACGAACTAGGTTTCTATGATTTTAGAACTGATGAGGGTATGGCAAATGGATACCGGAAAGGCAGGAGCTGCAATGAGCTGGTTATACTGCAACACAATGACAGGTTGCTGTTATTTCAGGAAGTTTATTTCAATCAGCAAATATTTAGTGCCTACTATATGCCAGGTATCATTTGATATACTAGGAAAGCATAGCCAGCATTCAAAAAACAAAAATACAAGGACCACCCCAAAACAAAAATATTCAACAAATAACAGAAAATCTGGAGAAGAGACTCTGAGATACTCTTGTGAGGGATTTGACATTGGATTCTCCCTAGAGAATTCAGGCTCAATGCTTTTCTCATAGCTCAAGGGCTGGTGTCAATCAGAAATTACTAGCTATCCATGGTTGTACTACAGGATCAACTCAGCACAGTCTTTGTAGAAACCTTCAAAAGTAAAATTATTGTTACCTTTAGAATAGAACCATTTTCTGCAGGTGTGGTATGCACTGGAGGAAGAGAATCTTCAGAGAGTGGCACATCATTCCCATTAAATACGGCACTGGGAAGAAAACATAAATTTACATAAGGAGAACCTAGACGGGCATAGGTAGCATTTTCAAAGAAAGGACTTGGGAAAAAAGAATAAAAATTTCATGTAGGGGAAGAAGAAATTACAATTTGTGAAGACCATAAAAGCAGTCAGCATTATACTCATATGTCTTTGTGAAACCCTTCCTCACCCACCCCATAACAATTTGTAAATCCAGGTCAGGCTCATTCACAGATGGATCAAAATTGTGGGCTACTTTGCTTCCCTCCTAAATCTCGCTAAAAAGACAGAAAAGATTAATTTTGAAAAGAAAGACAGATACACAAAAAAAAATACAGGTCAATAGATTAATGTTTAAAAGTTGTTATCAAATACATAAAGGAAAATCTCAGTGAAACAGAAATTATACAGAATAACTGAGATAAGAGAGAACAGTCAGGAACCATAAGGAAAAGCCATCATTTAAAGACACAAGCTGGAGAGCTTTGCTGCAGAAAGTAGAAGCAACATCTAGTGCTCCAGATATTACAACAGGACTAGCCAGGTGAGAGGATGCCAGAGAATCTGTTACTTGTAGGCCTGGCAGTAATGGCAAGGGGGTCTAACCTCAGATAAAGATAATAAGAATAGGAGCAGTCTTACAGATGGCTTCAACACCAGTGAGGAAAGGGGAAAAATCTAGTCAAAAGGTCATCATCCACTAAAGTAACATCTCCAACAGGAAATCCAAGTCCTTTCTAATATCACTGAAAAGTGTGCAAGCAATAGGAGCAGTTCCTGTCTAGTCTTACAAGGAGCCTGAGAAAAATAAGAGATAAATCCCAGATTGGAAAAGACATAATTAGTGAAGTGGAAGCTAGGACTGTTACATCCACAACACTGAGGCAAACAGAGACAAAGAGATTAAAAAAAAAAAAGAAGGAATAATATGAGAAACAGAGTAGTGAACAGGATGTTTCAACTAATGGATACCAGATAATCAAAAAGATAATAGCTTATGATATTCCAGAACTGAAAAAAGACATAGGTCTTTAGATGAAAAGACCACCTTGAATATTAATAAGAATAAAAAAATAAACTTATTCTTAGACATACAGTAATGAAAATGCAGAACATCAAGAATAAGCAGTAAAACCTAAAAGTTACCAGAGGAAACAAAATAACTTTGTGCTTCAGAAAGAAGAAACAGCTCAGACAAAAGGAGCTGATCTAAGAAACAATGAGCATTAAAAGAAGTATGTTTTACAATGAATTCACCCAACCCTTCAAGAAAAGATTTGTCTTATGTAGTTTACACTGCTGCAAAACATGGAAAGAAGCAGATGAAAAGCTCCTGCATCCATTTTGCTCAGCATTCCCACTCCTAGGTATACACCCTAAAAAATCTTCACAACACATGTGTATATGGAGGAACATACACAATGTTAATTTGGAACAAACGTTTGTCCATTAATAAAAGAATGAATAAACTGGTTGACTCATGTAATGGCAATTAATATGAAGGAACCATGGATAATTTTTTTAAAATACAGATATGTCAAAATAAAATCCACTGAATTATACACTTTAAATGGATGGATTGTATGGCATCTGAATTATATTTCAAAAAAACTGTTACTACAAAAATAAATCATCTGAATAGATTTCTCCAAAGAAGAAAAGATGTTCAACATCATTAGTTCTTAGGTATATGAAAATCAAAACCACAATGAGATACTACCATTTCATACTTACCAGGATGGGTATAATTTTAAAAATAAAGAATAATAAGCATTGGCAAGGATATGGAGAAAGTAGAACCCTTATATATTGTTGGTGGGAATGGAAAATGTAGCTGTTTTGGAAGACAGTTTGGCAGTTCCTCAAAAAGTTAAATATAAAGTTATCACATGACTCAGTAATACCCCTTCTGGGTATATATTAAAGAGAACTGAAAGCAACATCTCTATAAAAATTATTTATGTGAATGTTTATAGCAGCTTATTCAGAATAGCCAAAAAGCAAAAACAACATAAATGTCCATCGATTGATAAATGGATAAACAAAAAGTGGTATGTCTATTCACTGGAATATTATTCAGCAATAAAGACGGATGAAGTACCAGTACATACTACAATATGGATAAACATTGAAAACATTAGGTTAAATGAAAGAATCCAGACACAAAAGGCCACATATTGTATGATTCCATTTACATGAACTGTCTGGAGTAGGTAATTCCGATAGAGACAGAAAGTAGAATAGTGGTTGCCAGGTGATGCAGGGGAGGGCAAGGATGAATGCAGAGAGACCAAATGGGTGTGGTGTTTCTTTTAGGGGTGATGACAATATTATGGAATTAGATAGTGGTAATGGTTGCAAAAATTTGTCAATGTACTAAAATGCACTGAATTGTACACGTTCAAAGGGTAAATTTTATAGTATGGGAATTATAACTCAAAAAAATAAAAGAAAAATAGTCTAAAAACAGTCTAAATCTACAACAGCAAAATGTAAAAATGTGACAAAGCTTGATATCTGGTACATCGATATATACTATACAATCTCCATAGTTTTTTTCTGTGCCTGAAATATTTCATTTCTAAAAAGCAAGTATAGTAATTTTTTAAAACACTGTGGTATGGCATGGGCAAAAAAACAGCTTACCAGTAAAGGGAAAGGCCCAGAAATAGATCTAAGTTTAAACAATAACAGTATATTTTAAAGAATGCATTTCAAATCCTAGGGTGTGGGGAGCAGATTATTGAAAATATCGAAAGCCATTTAGAATAATAAAACTGGAAGTAAGCTGAAGTATATTCCATACTCTTTCCAGCTCTAAGTGTTCAATGAAATTGGGAGGTCCAATGCCCATTATCCTCCTCTAGGCAAAAAAGAAAAAAAAGAATGAGGTTATTCAAAAAGATCTGATAATAACAATAGTATTAATAATGCTGTGGGCCAACTGATTTATTGGAATTAGTTAAAAGGTTAAGTTGTAATTCCAGTTTTACCCTGATCACCAATTAATACGTTTATTGAGTACTGTAAAGTCTTATATACAAAACTTGCTATATACTTAAGTGCTATGTTGATTACAGTATCTGAAACAGTATGATTAATCAGAAAATACTTCACTGAATAAGTTTTAAATAACGAGAAAAGAAACAGCATTCATTCATTCAACGTTAGCACCAACTAAGCACAGAACACTGGATACACAGTGATGAACAAAACAAACTGGCATAGAGGAGGGAATAAAAGCCAAGTAAGACAAATAAATGGCGTAATACTCATTGAAGAAAAGAGGGACAGCAAGGATTTGGAAAGGAAAGCAAGGATTTGGAAAGCTAACTACATTTTGTGGCTAAAATATGAGAGAGCCCACAGTAAGAAAGCTTAATAGGAACAAGGCCTTTTTATAAGACAGGGCCTTAAATGGCAGTAAAGTTAACCACCATACCTAAGGGAAATAATATACATTTCTCATCAAGTATCTTAATAGGATTAAAAATATCTTCAAAGGATTTTTTTGCTCTGCAGTTTGAACCAGTTGAAAAGGAATGAGAATGTAAAGAGACTAATTAGGACTATTTTCAAATAATCTAAAGCTAGGTACTAAGTAGCTATATAATGGACAGAAGAGTGAATTTGAGCTGTCTTCCAAATAGACAGCCTGAAATCATGTGGTGACAAACTGGGGAAGAGGAAAAAAGGCCAAAAAAAGAAATTGTTAAGAGGAAAAGAACATCATTTAATTCAGTCTACCCAGAACTGTACCTGTTTGTGGCAGCATCTTGAACACTGGCGTTTTTATGACTTAATAAACTATCTTCTCTTGTAATCTAAGAAATGAAATCATAAATAAACATTAAATCTTTGTTGAGGATACTAAAGTAAGAAAAAACTTACATTTCTTTCCTGTAAAAACAGAAATATCAGTTTGCTTCAGTTCCAAAAGAGGTAATCATACCTTATCTATGGAAATATCAATATTGCACCTATCCAATCCTATCCCATATCCAAATAATCCACACTTCCACTTTAGCATATTAGTATATAAATTCACATGCTTCACTAACAGCTCTCTATTAAAGACACCATGTGTGTTAGTCAATTTATACGGCATCTCAAAATAATTTTTTGAATTTACATAATAAAAACAGATGTTAAGCTGTATATCTGGCTATTTACCCTGAACACAAGAAATATTTTCAGAGGGAATTCTAAGAAATGTTTCTAAAGAAGTTAGTTAACAGAGGTATCATTTATATACAGTAAAATACACACGTTTTTACTGCATGAGTTAATGAATTTTGAAAAATATATACAGCTGCTTAACCAACAGTACAGTGAACATCATGTAACATTTTTACTACCTTCAAAATGCTTCCTTGAAGTTTCCAATGCAATCGTATCAAAATCCTTACACATGGCAAATAATGATCTGTAGTTTCTATAGTTTCATATAAATGAAATCATTATATCTATCTTTTGCATCTGCCTCTTTAGAGTAGCATGATGTTTTTGAGATTCACCCATGGTGTTCCACTTATCACTAATTGGTTCATTTTTATGTATTGAGTAGCATTCCACTGTATGGATATACCACAATTTGATTATCTGTTTACCTACTGATGAACATTTGGGGTGTTTCTAGCTTTTAGCTATTACAATAAAGCTCCAGAGAACTTTCCTGAACTAAGATCTGTGTGAACCTACGTATTCATTTCTCTTGGGTGAATACCTAAGAGTGGAATTGCTGCATCATCTGGTTAAGTATATGTTTACTACATTGCCAAACTCTTTTCTCAAGTGCTTGTTAAACACTTTTTTTATTCTTACCAGCAATGTGCATTGCAGGAGCTCCACCACTGCCAACATAGGAAATGTTCACTTTTTAATTTTAGCTATTTCAAAGAATGTGTCTGTATCATGAAGTATGATTTTAGCTGCAGATTTTTTTCATAGATGCCCTTTATCGAGATGAAGTTCCATTCTATTCCTGGTTTGCTGTGAGCTTTTAACACGAAAGGGGGTCGAATTCTGTGAATGCCTTTTCCACAGGACTTGAGAAAATTTTATTTATTTTTTAATATACTCAACTTTTTAAAAATTAATTTATTTTAGTTTCAAGTATACAATACATTGTTTAGACATCTATTTAGTTCGTAAAACGATCACCCCAATGGCTCCTTCTCTCCCCTGACCCTCCACCTGGCCAATGTATTAATGCTAACTACATTTTGTGTGCCATGCTCCCCATCCCCGTGACCATCCATCAGCTACTAATTTGTACTTCTTTAACCTTTCACCCCCTTCTCCCAGCCCCCCAAACCTCCCTCCCCTCTGTCCATCACCAAATTGTCCACTATATTTGTGAGTCTGTTTTTGATTAGTTTGTTCTTTTTATTCCTTAGATTCCTCATATAAGTGAAATCATATAGTGTTTATTTTTCTCTGTCTGACTTAAATACCTTGTAGGTTCATCAATATCTTTTTCCATCCCTTCCTTTTCATACGTAACGGTCTTGTTTTCTTATCCTTTCAGTCACTCTATCTTTTGGTTGGAGTGCTTAATTCTTTCCCATTTATGGTTCTTATTGATAGGAATATAGTTGTTACCATTTTTTATTCCTGTTTTTGATACATGTTTTTTCTTCTTAAAGAAGCCCCTCCAACATTTCCTGTAATACTGTCCTGGTGGTGATAAACTCCTCTAGTTCATTTTTGTCTGGGAAGCTCTTTATCTATACTTCAACTCTAAATGCTAGCTTTGCTAGATAAAGTATTCTTGGTTGTAAATCCTGGGTCTTCGTCCTGTTGAATATTTTTTGCCAAGCCCTTCTGTCTTGAATACTTTCTTTTGAGAAATCAGCTCCCAGTATTATGGGTGTTCCCTTATAAGTAACTATCTGTTTTTCTCTTGCTGCTTTTAATATTCTTTCTTTGTATTTAACCTCTGGCATTTTAATAATGATGTGTCTTGGTATGGGACTCTTTGGATCCCTGAGTTTTGGAATTCTCTGAGCTTCCTTGGGTTGTATATCTATTTCCTTCACCAGGTTAGGGAAGTTTTTCATCATGATTTCTTCAAACAGCTGTTCAACATCTTGATTTTCTTCAGTTACGCCAATCAGACCGATATTTGGACCCTTAATAGTGTCCCATATGCTCCTTAAATTATTTTTATAGTCTTGGCCTCTTATCTCTTGCCATTCAGATTGTGTGTTCTTGGCTTTCCTGTCCTCTAGATAGGTCATGTGATCCTTTTCTTTATTCACTGTTTATTCCATTTACATACTTCTCATCTCAGATGTGTTCTTCATTTTAGACTGGTTCCATTTTATAATTTCAATTTCCATTTTTATATTTTTTATTTCTTTGTTGAAGTTCTCACTGAATTTATCTATACTTCCCAAAAGTTCATTGAGCATCTTTATAACCAGTGTTTTGGACTCTGCATCTATTAGATTACTTGACTCCTTTATATCTGGATCTCTGTTCTGTTCTGTCATATAGTTTCTGCTTCTTTGTCTTCCCATTTTGGCTGCCTTTCTGTGTCTGTTTCTATGAACTAAGCAAAGCTCCTAAGTCTCCTGGTCTTATTAATGTGGATTTGTGAAGTAGTAGTACAGTGGCACAGAACTGAGAGGGGGTCAGCTGCAGGCCAAATTTAGCCCAATCCTCTGCCCCTCTGAGGCCATCTGTTAAGATTCAGCAAGCAATCCACAGCTGCTGTGCTTATAGTTACCTCAAAAGGCCACACCAGAAACCGAAGCCAGCTGCCTCCAGTGTGAGTCCAGGCGCTGCTCAGCAAGGAGCACTTGACCCTCCAAGGATACACCTGGATGTGGCTTGGGTAGAGCCACGAGTTGGGGGAGGCGGGGGTTCAGGGAATCCTCTAGGTGGAGCGACCTCTGTTATCCAGTTTGATGACATCACAGCTATGGCGGCCCTGTGTCTGGCGCACTGGGAGAGGGGAGGGCTCAACAGGGAACAATGAATACTGCCAGCACTTCTGTACCAAGCAAGTCTCTCCTCGGCCCTCACTCCAACAATGTCTCCCTGTAAGTCCCTGATGCCCCCTGTGCGCAGCTGAACCAGCACTGGTGCTCAGAGCGAGCAGATCCATCACCACGAAAATCTGCTCATAGACTTGGCCCCTTTAAGAGGCCTCTGCCACTGCTGAAGCCTCCATCCCACTCAGCCACTTGAGATCGGGCAGCCCTGCGTCCTCGCCCCATCCTACCTTCTGCCATTGCAGAGTGCTTTCTTGGATTTCTCCCTAGTTGTACAGATGGTTCATCCCAGGTGATTTTTCCTTGCTGCTGCTCCTTGTTTCCGCCACAACTTTGATTTGGTCACCAGAGGGATGAACAGAGCCTCTATCATCTACGCCATGTTTTTTTCCTCCAATGATACTGATTTTTTAATAACAAACCAACTTTCTTCCTGAGCTAAACCCTACTTGGTCATGATGTATTATCCTTTTTATAAACTGAGTATGATTTGTTATATTTTGTTAAGGATTTGTGACACTATGTTCAAGAGGGGTATTATAGTTTCTTTTCTTGTAAAACCTTTTTTCTGGTTTCTGTATTGGGGTGATACTTGTCTCATAAAATAAGTTGGAAAGTACTTCTTCCTATTCTATTTTCGGAAAGAGTTTGAGTAGAACTTATTATTCCTTAAATGTTCAGTAGATAGAATTGATGAAGGCATCTGGTCCTAGATTTTTCTTCATGGGAAGGCTTTTAAGTATAAAGCAAAATCTCTTTAATTTAGGGCTATTCAAATTACCTGTCTTTTCTTTGAATCAAGAAAATCCAAAAGTATAACTGAAATATAATGTAATAACAACTATTACTACTCCTGCTACTATAACATGTAGTTGCAAAGTTGGGGATAAACAGTTACTAAATGTTCAGTATGTGCCAGGCATTATTCCATGTGCTTTACGTTTATTATCTTATTTCATCCTTATAACCCACCTTAAGGTAGGTACTACCATTATCCTTTTTTTAATATAATTAAACTCAGGCACAGAGAAATTAACTAATTTGCTAAGTCACAAAGTTAGTAGGTGGTACATTAGAAATAGGATTCAAACTCAAGTTACCTGATTCCAGAGTCTGTATTGCTATATTTTATACTTATTTTTGTATGTATATGTTATGTTTTATGTTTACATAGGGGGAAGAGGGTAGATAAAAAGCATGGACAATATTCCTCAAGTCCTCTTAGTTCTCTTCAATGCTTGTGCCTGGGGAGAGCATAGGTAGAATACATCTTCTCAACAACAGCATAGTTTGAAATCCTAGCTGACACCATGACTTGCTGAGACAGGCTTGTCCTGGTTTAGTATGGAGGATAAGTCTGAAAATTAGGGAAAGCCAAGGAAAAAATGGATTTTGAAAGCATAGATGCCATAAATTTCATGGGGGCTTGTTTTACTATATCCTTCATAATGCTACAGCCAACTCTTTCACCTTGTAACTTTCACTCTTGTTGCTAATAACATCACAATTCTGCAAAATTGGGGATAGATGTGTGGTTGGAAATAGAAGACTGATAAAAAACCCTAAAATCATGGACAATATTGATACCTAAACGTCACTAGATTTTCTGGCTATAAAAGTGGCAAAGATTTGGTACTCATTTCTATAGGAGTTTGACTTTTTAAAAAAACTTCTTAAACCCTAGAGCGTATTTACTCTTACTTTCCATCCCATGACTGCTCTCTTTTAATCTATCTTATATTTAGAATTGGGGAGGCATTTTGCCATATTGAGCATGTTTCTTCGTACTAATTTGTCTCTCTGTAATCACTAGGTAGGTCTCTCTTATTTAACACTCATGTATTTTATTCATATATTTTATTTGTTCTTCAGAGTCTCTCAACCCTAAGTTTCATGTTCTTTTTACTTACCAGGACTATGTCTATTAAAGGAAGCTTACCTTATGAACTGCTTCTACTTGAGCCTTCAAAATGTTACTCTTTAAGTCAGGAGGAACTCTCCTAGCATTCAATCCTGGGCTCTCAATGGCATTATTAAGACATTTCTCAGTCAGCTTCACCACTTCTTCCTAGATATTAAAAATAAACTAAGCAACTCTCAAAGGAAAGGGACTGATGAAAGTTCATATGCAGACCACCAGGAAATCATCTGTCTTCAGCAGTCTATAATTGATTCCAAGAACAGTCAACTCCTATATATGTAATTTCAAACTAAGGCTCAATAATCATAAACATGAAATATGAATTGATAGGTACTTCTAGAAATCATCTAGCCCAATTTCCTCTTTAAGCAACTGAATAACCAATTATATTATCTGGGACAAATGCCTGAATTAACTACACACAAAGAATGTGTGCCATTTGTTGTATAGTAGTCCCCCCTTATCTGTGGGGGATATACTCTAGGACCTCTACTGGATGCCTGAAACCCTGGGTAATATCAAACCTTATATACACTATGTTTTTTCCTACATACATGCCTACAATAAAGTTTAATTTATAAATCAGGCACAGTAAGAGATTAAAAATCATTAATAATAAAATAGAACAATTATAACAACATCCTATAATAAAAGTTGTGAATGTGGACTCTGTTTCAAAATATCTTATTGTACTATACTTACCTGTTCACTTAAAGTAAGCACTTTATGTCTTCTCTGTGGTATATCTGAACTATCAGCATCATTACTGTTGGCCTTTGGAGCCATTATCAAATAAATAAGGGCATTCCTTGAACACAAGCACTGCGATACCATGATAGTCAATCTGATAACCAAAATGACTTCTAAGTAATTAATGATTGGGTAGCAAATACAATGTGGATACACTGGACAAAGGCATGACTCACATCCTGAGTAGGACAGCATGAGAGTTCACCATGCTACTCAGAATAGTACGCAATTTAAAACTTATAAAGTGTTTATTTCTGGAATTTTCAATTTAATATTTTCAGACCATGGTTGACTGCAGTTAACTAGAATTGTGGAAAGTGAAACCACAGATAAAGGAGGAATATTATAATTAATTTCCACTGGACTTTAAGGTAGGCCCTACACAGGCTAATCCCTGTAGTTCTGGAACTGTCACCAGGTAGATGATTATGTTTGGGATTATGTAGCCACAAACTGGTCACTCTTAGGTATAGACTTATAAAAATGATAGCAGAGAGAAAACTCTGACGAACCTAAGAATGGTGAGCACAGGTTTGGTGGCCAGAGAGGTTGCGATGGATGAGCTGCTGTATTTTGACCAAGGTTATGATGTGCCTGGTGTGTGGGGAAGCAGCTGGGGTGCTGGTGGAAGTGGAAACTTGCAGATACCGACCTACTAAGAACTACCTGAGCTACCTGACAGCCCTGGATTATTCTGCTTTTGAAACTGACATAATGAGAAATGAATTTGAAAGACTGGCTACCTGGCAACCAACTGAACTGATCAGTACGAAATGGTATGATATTCCAGCCCCTTCCATGGGTCAGAAAAATGACATTACTGTATGGCAAGAATGTGTAAACAATTCTATGGCTCAGTTAGAACATCAAGTGGTTTGAATTGAGAATCTGGAACTAATGTCACAATATAGATGCAATGCCTGGAAAGTATATAATGAAACTCTAGTTCATATGATTGAACATGCACAGAAAGAGCTCCAGAAGTTCAGGAAACATTCAAGATTTAAATTTTCAAAAGAACATGCAACTCACAGATAGATCTAAATTAAGAGAAATGGAGTCAACTTGGATATCCCTGGTCAGTAAGAATTATGAGATTGAAAGAACTATTGTGCAATTAGAAAATGAGATCTTTCCAATTAAGCAGTAACAGGGAGAGGCCAACAGAGAAAACATTCATCCAATAAGACTTCTGAAAATAAATTCGATGGGTAGAAAGAAAGGCAAGTTGGACTTTTACAGAAGATCAGACTTCTGAACTGTTAAGGGCAATAGCATCTTTTGTAAATCATTAGTGGTTAAGTTTAGAAACCACAGAAAGTGAACTGTTATATTCTATTTGTACATTAGCAAAATAAAAAATTTCAACGTGGTGTTACAAAAATGATAGAATAAAGCACAGTCCGGTCAAGAAAGATAAATATAAATTAATATATATTTATAAAAAGATTAATATAAAAATATAAATTAATTATGAAAAGAAACTGGAGGAAGCAAATTAAGAAGTTTAAATTATCTGCACTATAACTGATATTTTACTTAAAATAAATGATGATCAATAACAATTATCATTATTACTATGGTTGCTATTTAACACTGGTCTAAATAACAAACTCACTGTAAATATTTTCTTAGTTTCAACACAGCTTTTGTTCTATAAAACAGACTAGCTGCCACGTACAGGATTACACACTGCACCACTCTCAGATTTGAAAAGATTTAATTAATGTGCTTACTCTAATTTGGTGTTTGTTTCTTTCTTTTCTTTTTTATCCAGTAATTAAAGTCTAATAAAAATAATTTAGAAAACAAAAAATATAAATAAAAAATTAAATTTGCCAGTGATAACCATCCAGAGATAATAATGGCTGACATGGGGTGTAGGCTTTATGGTATTTTTTTCATAGGAGTGTAACTATAAACACATTAAAAAAATTTTATCCTTTTTGTAATAAAAATGATTTTCGACAAAGTCTTTAAAACTATAGTTTTATTGCTTCTATCATAAGGAATTATAAAAATGTATAATATATTTCTCAAGTCTATTATTGAAACAGGTTACATCCAAGTTTTGCTTTTTGCTGGAGAGGATAACATGATGGTGAGCACCTTCACATGTTATTCTAGAGGTGGTTTTCTGTTCTCTTCGGGGAGATTCTGGCCATTCCCGCAGCACGAAGACCTCTCTGCAGTGGTGTGGCGTCTCTTGGCCATCTAAAGTCAACATTCTTTCTCTTTTGATGAACACTAACACCTCGCAGCTCTTTGGGTGGTATTAATTTGGTGTGTCTTATAGTGGCCTATACCTATCTGCCTTTGGTGGGACCCCAAAATCTGAATGTTTAACAAGCTTCTCCATGTGACTTGATACATATAAAATTCTGAGCATTACTACTTTGGACTAGACTGTATTTATGTCTGTGACCCGGTCTTCAGAATGGCTCCTATTAATTATAAGAAGTCCCTTTTCTGATCATGGCTAGTTCATACTACATAATCCATCAATCCTACTTCTGGATACCTAACCAAAGGAAACAAGATACACTCCCCTGTTCATTGCAGCATCTTCACAGTAGCCAAGATACGGAAAGAACCTAAGTTGTGTGTCTGTCTGTATATATGTGGAATATTATTCCGCATTGAAAAAAAAGAAAATCCTGCCATTTTCAAAAACATGAATGAAGCCGGAAGGCATTACATGAAGTGAAATAAGTCAAACAGAATTACAAATATTGCATGATATTACTCATAGGTGGAAACTAAAAAAAAAAAAAAAAAATCCAACTTGTAAAAACAGAGAGTAGAATGGTAGCAGCTAGAGTCTGGGGAGTAGAGAAATAGGGAGAGGTTGGTAAAAAGCTTTCAGTTATAAGACAGGCAAAAAGCTTTCAGTTATAAGACAGACAAATTCTGAGGATCCGATGCATAGCATGGTGACTGTAGTTAACTAAGCTAAGAGAGTAGATGTTAAGCATTGTCACCAAAAACCAAACCAAAACAAAATGGTAACTAAGTGAGGTGATGGATGTGTTAATTTGATTGTAGGAATCATTTCACAATGTATACATATATCAAATCACCATATTGTACACTCTAAATATAATTTTATTTTTCAATTTTATCTCAACAAAGCTGGAAAAAATCATGGCTAGTTCATATGCTTTGTTTTTTTTTTTTTCTAGAGTCAATTATGTTGCAGACTTGAGATTACTTGTTAATCACATTACAAGATTCTCAGAGCAACCTGCCTCTGACACAGGAAGATATTTTTTTTCTGCCTATATTAAAAACAATAATTCAACACACATCACAGGTAAGAGTATAAATTGTTACCATATTTCTGGAAGGTAATTTTGCAAACGTGCCAAATACCAAAGGCTTTAAAATTACCCCTGTACTTTGACCTAACACTTCCACTTTCTAGGAAAATAATCAAAGATGATTACAGATATTTATTTATAAGACTTTGTCACAGCACTGATTATGACAGTGAAAATTAGCAACAATCTAAATGTCTAACAGGGGACTGAGTAAACACAATGATGACACACTCATGCAGTTGAACTATTATTGCCTATAATGTGTCATTGAAATAAAGAAAGATGTTTATAATTGATTAGTTTTAAAAAGCAATGTTATCTCATTTCTATTTTTTAAAAATATATCACATTTCAATGTTCGAAAGTATATATCTTAAAAAATGTCAACTGTAGCTATCTCTTAATAGTGGGATAATGCAGGATTTATAATTTTCTGCTTTTTAAAATTTGCTTTAATTTTCTACAATTATCATTGTGTGTACTATAGAAAACATTACTGCAATACAAGTTGAGTAATAGCTTTAAAATATTTTCAATTTATTTTCTTAGAGCACATAACTCCAGTGGCACCCAATTACTACAATGTAGATATATCTGCCTTGGATGGCTAAAATGTGGCAAACAGAAGACCAAAAGAATTAAAAGGACACTCTGATTCCTAATACCCTAAATTAGACCTGATCAGAAATGACTGTAGAGCAGTCCTTGGCTGTCAGAGTCAGCTTAGTTTAGAGCTTATGTCAGGGATTAGAGATCTAAAGTCTGCTTAAGTTCTCAGCCAGTGTAACAATCACTCCTCTTCCCCCTCCCCAAGATTCACCAGTCTTCATACCTTTTTAGGTTCATTCCAGTCGCTAAACTTTTGTCAAATTAATTATTAACCATCTAAAGCTTTCAATTAACTCTTCTGTCTCTGATCCTGCATTCCCCTACTTTACAGAGAGTAAAAAACAAAAACAAAAACAAAAACTGACAATGTGAAAGAAGAGAGACCAATATAATTGAAAAATATTGATTAGGTTAAGAAGATGAAAGCCTTCCTGAAATTTAATCAGCTTCTAAAAAACATTCCTAAGGGAAAAAAACACAAAAGGGGAAAAAAGGGATTCAAAGGACAGCTTTAACAATGACTATGCAAGAAAGAAGAAAATCACTCTGCTTCATACTGGTCTCTGAAGAAATTCCAGTTAGTTATCCAAGGATGAAAGAACACTGCAGATCACCTGTTCCCCTTTCCTCTTTAAAACCAAACCAAACTAAACCAAACCAAGATGCACTCAACAGATCCTTGCTACCTGCTGTCTATATACAGGGGAAAAAAGGTGTCTCCAGATCATTATTTAGTGGGGACACCTGATACAATTAATTAGTTTTATCTCATTCAATTTATTTTAGTTATTTAATGTAAAAATAAGAAAAAATTTCTTAATTAGTCAAACAATTAATTGAAGTTTAACTAGTTTAACCCATATGCACTCTTCCTACCCAAAGCCTAAAAAACTCCAGAGGACAGAGTGGTGAAAGGTACAAAACATCTGAAGTTCTATTATTTTCCTTGTTTATACAACAGAGCAGCTACTTTCAAATAAATCCTTCTATAATTTCAAAGGGCATTCACCAAGTTCTTCAACTAAATTAATACCCATTAAATGGAATTAAGAGAAAATGGGTTGAATCAAAATAAAAGGTTTACAGCCATATCGCTTTTGACTGTGTGTCTAAAAAAAATTATGAGATGATGTTACAGTCCTAATGTTGCTGCCCAAGTTCCCTCCTTCCCTCCTGAGCATCTACCAATTTTATGAGTTCAGCACATACAGATTTCCCAGCAAAAGAAAAGAGAAAGTATTAGCTTTGGAAAGAAAAGATTTCTGGTAGGACTGGAGATGTGTGACAGGCACACAAAGGAGAAATCTGAATACCTGGTTGTTGATGTTAACATCGATGTTGGGATGAAGGGGTGGTAATGAACTGTTTTCCATCTGAAGATGTTTCAGCTTCTCTGACGCATCTTTTAATGCTGGAGGAGGAAAAAAAAGGCAAAATAGCCCCTTATCCTGCTGGGTAGTCATAGCTGTATGAGGGTATAGACTCATTTTTTTTTTTTCTAACACCAGTTACTAATAATTAAAGGTAATAATCCAGATTATCACAGAATAAATATATTTTCTATAACCAGGTAAATCTCTATTATTTTGATTAAGAGTTAACCTAAGTAGGAACACTGTCCTGTATCCATGCCACTCCTAAAAAGCTACTAGACATAGAATCTCACTAGCATGTATGGTTAAGAAAGCTTACTGGCCAAAAGATCCAAAGAAAGGGCAGAGATCACCTGTGACACAACCCTTTCCTTCATAACAACAACCCAAGCACCTGCTGAAGCTACTTTGCTGTGTTCTTTCCTTACACAGCCTAAAACTAAACTAATATGGAGCAAACTGATGAAAGACATGCATTTATTTATTCATCAATTTAACATATTATATATTGGTAACATCAAGTGTGATGCAGGACAAGCATTTTGTTTTCATTATGTTCCACCTTAGCTGCAAAAGACATTATAAATAAAGTCCTCTAACCACTGAAAAGATAATACATTAAATACAATTCAGCTTTAAATGAACACTGTTTAAATTATCCACTTGTAATAATCCTATTTTACAGGGACTAATTCGGTATGAGTTTGAATTTTTACATGGTCACTTAACAAAAAAGCTATTGCATGCCTAATAATTTCTATATAACCAGGCAAAAGAAGGAAGAGAAAAGCTATGAAATCGTTTCCTCCTGCTCAAAGGGATCATCTTACAGTGTCCATCAATTAACTCAGTGGATCTCTCCATATTAGAATCAGCTGTAGAGCTTTAAAGGAATACTGATTCCCAGAGCTGACCCCGGAACAACGATATCAGAATTTCTGGAGGTAGATTTCTGGCACTGGTAGTTTTTAAAACTTTCCAGGTGATGAGAATCACTAATTCAATACTTACCTTCTCAAAATCTTCCACACTTATCTACTTACTTAATTGCCATCTCTTGGTTTACTTATGCTTCAAATTATTTGATACTAAATTTTAACATGATGATGATGAGACCACAAATCCTTTAGCTTATGCTGACAAATGAATACTGTTGGGTTTAGGGTTTTTTGTTTTTGTTTTTTTTCTGTTGAAATTAAGCTTTCTCTGCTACATCTGTTTGGCTGAGGAACACTGAGATTGTAGGATAAGCTATTTTTTAAAGTTCCTATTTAAAACTACTCACCTATGTGAATAAGGATTTTGACATTACGACCAAAAGAAAATAAAGAATAAATTGGATACCAAGATTATGAGACCTTAGTTCTTAATATCAAAACATTTTATTTTCCTTGACTTTGAGCAAATGATATAAATCTGAATTGAATAAGTAAACTTGATCAAACTCCCAAACTGTAAAAGAATTTCTTCTGTCATAACTTCAACAGCATTTAAGCTTTGCATGGATACCTTCTATAATGAAGGGCTCACTCACTGGTAGGTATCTATTTCTGATATATGGTAGAAACATTTAAAAAATTCTTTCCTATACTGATTCCAAATCTGCTTCCCTGTACTTTCAAATTGCTGGTCCAAGATTCACCAATAAAGCACTATGAAATAAATTCTTTGCTATACTGGGCTTTTAAATATTTAAAGAGTTATTATATCTCATTTGATATTTTCCTTTCTAGGCATCCCTAGTTCATTTTGCGATGTTGCCCAAAACAAATACAATTTCCAGAAAATAAGTACGAAATAAAGACTGTTTGCTAATACAACACAACTGCAGCACTGAAAAACCTTTTAAAATTCATATAATGAACATAAAATGGAATGTAAATAAAATCAGTACTGCCATCTCTATAATAGAGACTATATTTTAACCCTGGAAATACTCCATATTAAGCTAGTCCTGCTTCTGGTTGCATCTAAATCCTGATGGCCTTGGTGTGTTATATATTGCATCTTTCTAGTCACGGAGTGATCATATCTAACAAAACATAGAGTCCAGGGTAGGGCTGTAAAAACTGGAAACTAACCAAAAGAAATTATGGCAAAGAAGTACAAGAGAAATAGTAATGGGTTTTCTTAATCCAATGACTAACTGCTACCTTTAAAATAATCAAATTAAATCAAAGTTAATTTGTTTCCCTGACCTCAGATTCATAAACACAACTCAAACATGGTAGATGTCAAGAAGAACATAAAATCATAACATATCAAAATACTTGTTTAACCATGTATTTTTACTAGTTGCTTAGGGAACAAAAGAACAAATTTTTAATGCCAATTACCAGTAGTATTTCTGTGTGTTTTATTAACCAGAAGCATTGTATAATTTCATTAACACTTTCTATCTCTAAATTACTAAATACTGCTCCTGTATTCTATACTCCGCAGAGACAATGGCATACTCAAAGGCAATTTTCTATGAGATGCTGAGAGATGGTGTCAAACTTCAGTGATAGAAATCAAAATTGACAAGAGCCACATAAGTATTAGCTTTTAAATTAACACACATTACACTGAGATTCAATAGGAAACTCCTGTTTAAAGACCGTTTACACTTTAATATCAAACCAAATTCATAAATATACAGAAATTATCAATGTGCAATTTATTATCTTTTAACCTTTTAAAAAGTTAAGGAAAGCAGCTTTCTGTCGGAATTATTTACTTTTGTGGATCTGAGCAACAACACTCCTCATTAAAAACATAATACTTTCTAGAAGCTAATGGAATGTCCAAACATTTATTCAATCCTGTGACCTAAAAATCTTTTTAAAAACTCTTTCTCTTAATTTTCATTCAAGAAACAAAGTAAAAAGCAAGTTTGAAAATTCATAAATATTTAATGACTTATAAATAATACAAATGTTTAATGGTCCCAATTATGCAATCTTAAATATTTCAATGAACACTTAAGCCAAAAAAGCGAGACGGCATAACCCATTAAATTTTAAAATTCAACCGTAGCATAAGTATTCTTGAAGGAACTGACTTAAATAGCTCATTTCAAAGGGAAGTAAAATAAAATATTGTCACTGATATTATACAGAACATTTGCTTACTCCCACCTTCAACTTCAGGTTCCTCTAACCCATTTTGCCTGGTGGCTATGTTAATTTCATCCAATGCTTGCGATGTTTCCACAGTGTCAGGTGCCCCAATTACACCATCTATGGTTGTTTCCAGTAAGTCTGGACTATCTAGCAAATCAATATTCAGAGGCAAGCTGTAAAGGAAGCAGAAAACTTACTTAAACCAAAAAATTTATTATGAAAATAATTTAAAATACTAACAAAAATCTTAGTTGGAAAAAAAAATCATGTAAGAGTTCACATCCCAACTAGTTTATTTATCTGTCAAAACCTTTTGGGTAGACTTTTCTTCCAGCCAAGATGGAGTAAAAGGGACTGGATTTAGCTTAACAAAAATAACCTAACTGGGGTGGGGGTGTGTGATTGTTTTCAAGACATCAGACATCAGACAACAAAGGACTTTGATTCTGAAATTTGGGAAACAAACGAAGTAAGCCCTATAATTGCCTTGAGAGAATTTCCATGCCATGGTGCAGAGCAGGTGAAATGAAGCAGAGCACAGAGGACTCCCTCAGTCCTCTTCTCAGCTGAGAAGATGAGGATGAGAATCTAGGGAGACCAAGGCAGCTAGAGTTCACAGGACCGAGTATCAAACAGGAGAGCAGCAGCACTTCAAATAAAGAATCCTGGAGATCTGCAGAGGGTCCACCCATCAAGTATTCAGCAAGGTACTGATCAGACAATGTGTGGCTAGGTAAAGAACCATCCAAAAGGATATCTTCCTTCTGTTTGGCTGGAGAAAGTACTAGTGGCCCTTACACTGGGCTTGTTTCCAGACAGACTAAAAAATACATAATTCACAGGGCACTGAGCATTCAGGAAGGTCTTGCCTCAGTACTGGAAAATAATTAACTCAGACTGAGCATGGCAACAGGCCCACCTAACACATCATAAAAGAAAGACCTGAAAGAGTCAAACTGTTTCTAAGTAACTTAACTGCATCCCAAAACAAAGCTCAAGAAGATTTGGAGGAATATAAAATTATCTAGCATCAGGCAGTGAAGTGAAATTCATTAGGTTAAGAACTTCGGACTTCGGTAGAATTTCGGACATCCACTCAAAGATTACAAGGAATGCAAAGAGGCAGAAAAAGACATCCCATACTAAAGAGAATAATCAACCAACAGAAATTGATATTAGAATTAGCAGAGAACAACATTAAACAGTTATAATAATATATTATATGTTCAAAAAAGCTAAGCAGAGATATGGAGGATATAAAAAAAAAGACCCAAATCAAAATTCTAGAGATGAAAACTACAATGTCTGAGATGAAAAATATATTGGATGGGATTGACAGCAGATTAGACTTAGAAAAGATACTAAACTTGAAGGCACAGCAACAGAAGCTATTCCGACTATTCAAAACACACTGAGAAAAAGAATCTCCCAAATGAAAAGAATATCAGTTAGTTGTGAGATAACTTCAAGCAGCCTACTGTATGGAAAACTGGAGTCCCAAAGTGGGGGTAGGACAGACAGATGTTTAAAGAAATAATTGCTGAAGTTTTTCCAAATTTGATGAAAACTATAAACCCACAGATCCAAGAATCTCAAGAAACCCTAAACACAAGAACATGAGGAAAGCTACATCAAAGCACATCATAATCAATCTGCTTAAAGACAATGGTAAAATCTTAAAAGCAGCCAAAAACACTTATGTTCAAAGAAATAAAGATGACAGACAATTTCTCATCAGAAACTATGCAAAGTAGAGGACAGTGGAGGAACACCTTGAAAGCACTGAAAGAAAAACGACCATCAACCAAAATTTTATAGCCAGCAAAAAAAACTTTAAAAAGCCAAGAAAATCCTAAGTATATACTAAAGAAAAATGAAAACATATACCCACACAAAAATGTGTACATAGCAGAATTATTCATAATAGCCAAAAAGTGGAAACCACCCAAATGCACATCAACTAAGGCCTGGATAAATGAAATGTGGTATAACTATAGACTGAAATATTAATCAGCAATAAAAAGGAGTGAAGTGCTGATATATGCTATGACATGGATGACCCTTGAAAACATAATGTTAAGGGAAAAATTTCAGACACAAAATGCCACATACTGTATGAGTCCATTTATACGAAATGTTGACAAAAGGCAAATCCATAAAAACAGAAAGTAGATTTGTGATTGTCAGGAGCTGGAAGAAGGATTAGGGAGAAATGGGGATTAACTGCTGTGATGTAAGGTCTGAAATTAAGATGCAGTATTAAGTGCCGCCTTGACATCTTTGAGCCTCACAGGACTCCAAAGTCCTAACTGCGAGTTTCCCTGTTCTTCTCAGATATTCACTGCCCCACAAATATCCATTGGAAAACTTCCCCCACCTAGCTAGTCCTGCTTTCAACTGTACCAGCTGCATTTTACCAGATTTTTAACCTAACAAATTTCACTTTCCTGCCAGCCTGTAAGATTATTCAAACAAGCCAATCACATCCTCTGGTGGGAACTAGGGGTCGCTTCATTCTTATATTATTATAAAGCCTGCCTCCTACAGCCCATATTTGTTCATTCTGCTCCCAAGAGCAACACCTGTGTGGCCTTGTTTGTTATGAGGTTTCCTCCTACCTTGAGCTTTGAGTATATGTGACTAGTAAATTGCTGTCTATCTCATCTTTCCAGTGTTGGGCATCGTGTGTTCGACCATCTTATTGTATTTAGGATGGGCGATCCCTCCTTCACCAAAAAGGTAAATAGAGAGTGATCAGAACAATTTTAATGGGTATGTGACTTCCTTTAGAGGGGGACAAATGTTTCAGAACAAAATTGTGATAAAGGTTGCACAATCCTATGAATGTACTAAAAACACTAAAATTGTCCGCTTTAAATTGGTGAAGAGTATGTGAATTATATCTTAAAGCAGTAAAGAAAAAAGAAAACAAACATTTTCATTCATACAAAATAATTCATGATCAAATGACCTGCATTAAAAAATGTTAAAGAAAGACCCAATCACAGAAGTAAAATGAACAGCATATTATTGTGGGGTTTATAACATATATAAAAGTAAAATGCTTGACGAGTTATAGTAAAAAGGCTGGGAGAGGAGAAATGGAACTACACTACTGTAAGATTCTTAAACTATACATGAAATGGTATAATAACTCTTGAAAGTAGCTAAGTAAAAGTTATAATTTAAACTTGTACATGCTAAAGCAACCACTAAAGTAAAACAGAGTTATAGCTAAGAAGTGAAGAAAGGACATACAGAATTTGAAAAACCACTTGATTAATGAAAAAGAAAGAAGAAGATGGGAACAAGAAACATATGGGACAAACAGAAAAAAAAAAACAGCAAAATGATAGACTTAAACTTAATCACATCAAAAATCACATTAAATGAAAATGGTCTAAACATACCAATTTTTAAATATAAACCTTGTCAGTTAAGATTTAAAAAGCAAAACCAAATTATATACTGCCTACATAAAACAATTTAAATATATAGAAACAAAGATAAAAAATCAAAGGATATAAAAAGATACCATGGTAATATTAGTCAAAAAAAGCTAGAATGACTATACTGACACCAAAGTAGAGTTCAGAGCAAAGAATAGTACTTCAAATGAAGATGATCATTTCATAAGGATAAAGGGGTCATTTAACAAGAGCACATAACAACCTTAAATATTTACAAACCTAAGACAGAGCTTCAAAATACATGAAGACAATACTGAAAAAACTGCAAAGAGTAATAGACAAAATGATAATTATGGTTGGAGATCTCAATATTCCTTTCTCAATAACTGATAGAACAAGCAGGCAGAAAATCAGCAAGGATATATTAGACTTGCACAACACTAACCACTAACTTTACCTAATTGAGATTATAAAACACTATACGAAAACCAGCAAAATACATGTTCTTCTCAAGTGCACACAGAACAATCACTAATACAGACCATGTTCTGAGCCATAAAACAAGGCCTGATAAATTCAAAAGGATTCAAGTCACATAAAGTACATATGTTTTTGACCAGAATTAAATTAGAAATCCAAACTAGAAAGAGCCTTGGAAAATCCCCCAATATTTGAAAAATATATAAGGCACTTCTAAATAACACATGAATCAAAAAAAAAAAAATGTCAAAAGGAAAGTATTTTGAACTAAATGAAAATGAAAGTACAACATATCCAAATTTGTAGGCAGCCACTAAAGTCGTACTTAGAGGATTATTTATAGCACTAACAATTTATATTAGAAAAGAAAAATGTTCTCAAGTCAATGGCTTAAGCTTATACCTGTAAAATAGAAAAAGAGCAGCAAATTAAATACAAAGGAAAAGGAAAGAAAGAAATAAAAAACAAAGGGAAAAAAATAGAGAAAATGATTTAAACCAAGAGCTAGTACTTGGAGAAGCTCAACATAAATTGATAAGTTATTATTGGTAAATACATATTTACCAATAATAGGAATGAGATCCTACAGATATTAAAATGGTATAAGGAAATATTGTGAACTTTATGGCAACAAATTCGACAACTTAAGTGATCCAAAAAAATTCTTTCAAAGACACAGACTACTAAAGCTCACTCCAGAAGAAACAGAAAATTTGAATAGAACCATAAAAGTAAATAAACTAAATTAGAAACTTAAAATCCTCTCACAAAGAGAAGCTCAGGCCCAGATGACTTCCTGGTTAATTCTATCAAATATTTAAAAGAAGAAATAATGCCAATCTTAAACTATTTCAGAAATAGGGGAGGAGGTAACATTTCTTAAATCATTCTATGAGGCCATTATTCTCCTGATACTGGAGCCATACCAAAGACATCAAGAAATCAAGCAAGAAATAAAAAAGTTTGCCTACCATGACCAAGTGGGATTTATTCCAAGAATACAAAGTTGGTTTAACACTTCAAAATCAATTAATGTACTATACCATGTTAATGAAAGAAAACCACATGATTATCTCCATAAATGCAAAAAAGCATTTGACAATTCTATTAATGGTAAAACACTATTAATGGTAAAAATGCTTAACAGGGGGTGGCTCCATAGTGTAGTGGTTAGCATGTCTGCTTTACATGCAGAAGGTCCTGGGTTTGTGCCCAGGTGGAGCCACGGATCATAACCTGGGTTTGCCAGGCCCCGGGTGTGCCTGGCCCCGGGTGTGCCTGGC